ATTTTCTTTTCTGAGGTCTTGCACTAGAATAGATAAGATGATTTATAGCCTTCTCCATCTCCCTAGCATCTGTTCTAAACCAAAGAAAGATGGATATATGGGAACTTTGGCCTCCACTTGTGAACAAAACCTACAAAGGAGTGCCAGCATGTTTGGCTAAGCTAGCCAGAGCAGATGGCCCAGAGAAATAACTGTTGGTTTATATAGGGCTATATAAATAAATGACAGCTCAAGGACAAGTCAGGTTCTTTTTCCTAGGTATGTGCTATTTTATTCACTGATACTTATTATTTGTAATTAGGTCATAACATAACTCAACAACCATAGGGTGAGGTTGATCCTTACCTGGGCTCCCACCTAGAGTCTTAGAAATGGCCCTGAACAGAGATTATTATGTAGGTTATATAGTTCTTGGAAAAAATATTCCCTGCCTAACTCCTTCCAATTTGATCCTGCTATTGACCAGCAGGGTCTGCCAAGGTAATGGAGGAAAGGATACCCCAGGTTCTTACTGATATTGGCATCTTGACTTTAGCTATTTCAGAATAAAGGAGAAACTGGTTTATACAAATTTCCAGGACTAATAAAAATTTATTCTAAAAAAAATCATTGTATGTAAAACTGTACAGTAGCAGCTGTATTCAATCATTTGAAACCTAGAAACCAGGAAAGAAATTGTAAAGGACCTCTCCTAGGCCCAGTCATTGCTATGTTTCTGTGTACACAATCCTTGGTGACCTTAAACAAATGGCAGCAATAATTCTCCCTGTACCTGTTTTCACCATCAGATTTCCTATGTACCAGCTTGGGTGGGAAAAAGTAGAAAAAAACCTTGTATTCAAATTGCTGCCAAGAAGAAAAACCAGATGAGATTATATTACATGAGAGCAGTAGAAACAGTTTTTCCATGGTCTGAATTTTCAGGCATTGATACCCTTCAATTATTCTTTAGATCTGAAAGCTATTAAAATTGTATTCCAAGTCAGAAAGATTGATTTGGTTGATAAACTTTAGTTCTATGGTAGCTGATTCTCTATGATATGAGACCCTTTGTCTGTCCTCTTTGATGTTTCTTATTCTAAAATTGCACTGTTCTCAAACACTAGCCATTCAACAATTATTTATCGTGTACCTCCTGTACTTTAGGCATTGCACCCCAAGTTCTAGGTTTGCTAGAGTAAATACTGCAGATCTAGCTCTACTCTCATAGAGTATTCAGTGTTGGCAGTGTGATGAAATGTCTTATGGTAGTACTCATGATACCATTGGATAGAGTGTCCCGCCCCCTTTTAATTTAGGACTTCAAAAGAAAAACAACCTATTTTAACTGTGAGAACGATTTAGAAATCAATTATAAGCTTCTGACTCCATTCCTATTCAAACCCTTCTATCCCTTAAAGGCAACTGATATGGGAAAAGCATATTAGGCATTGTACCCAAACAGACTCTGGTTCAAATCCTGGCTTTGCCAGACTTGGGATAAGTCACTTAAATTCTCTGAGTCACTTAAATTCTGTTTTTCTTTTCTTTCTTTCTTTCTTTCTTTTTTTTTGTAGGTAATAGGATTAAACAACAGATTGGTACTAGATTTAACTAAAAGTTTCTTTGCTAGTGACCTCCCCAGCGGTGGTGGGGGTAGGATGTTAGAAAAGTAGAATTCAGAGGAGATCCATGAGTAGGAATGCTACTTTGTCATAATCTACCTTATTTAGAAAAGAAATAGACCCAAAGGAACTCCTTGGGCATGGTTTTAGGTTTCTTAGATTCCCATGGATCCCTCTTCCCCTATTCTCTTGAGTTTATTTTTATTTTGACTAGGCTCAGGTCACCTTCCCTTCCTCCTAACCCACCCTAGGACTCAGACTGCCTCGGGGTTCCCACCATGGCTGTCTACCTCAGTGCTTAATCTTTCTGATCTTTTTTCTCCATTAAAACCCCATCAGTCCTATGCCCTAGTCCCTGTCTTTTCCTTTGTGGTTTATTAGCAATCTTTTTTTTTTTTTTGAGACAGAGTCTCACTTTGTTGCCCAGGCTAGATGATGCTGTGTGCGTCAGCCTAGCTCACAGCAACCTCAAACTCCTGGCTCAAGCCAGTCCTCCTGCCTCAGCCTCCAGTAGCTGGACTACAGGCATGCACCACCATGCCCGGCAATTTTGTATATATTTTAGTTGGCCAATTATTGCTTCTATTTGTAGTAGAGACAGGGTCTCGCTCTTGCTCAGGCTGGTTTTGAACTCCTGACCTTGAGCAATCCACCCGCCTCGGCCTCCCAGAGTGCTGGGATTACAGGCGTGAGCCACTGCACCCGGCCTTATTAGCAATCTTGATGATGTTGGGCTGAGATAGGAATAGTTTTAAATATATTATCCATCCTGGACAATATTACTAATGTCAAATATGGGGAAAATTTAAGCAAAGGACATTGCTATCACACACCGAAGAGAGTAAGCACCTAGAGCTGGCTAAGTTGGCACCACCAAGGAGATCAGTACACTCTGAAACCTTTTGTTGTCTTAAAAAAGCCGCGCCAAGGCCCGGCGTTGTGGCTCACGCCTGTAATCCCTAGCTCTTGGGAGGCCGAGCGGGCGGATTGCTCAAGGTCAGGAGTTCAATACCAGCCTGAGCAAGAGCGAGACCCCGTCTCTACTATAAATAGAAAGAAATTAATTGGCCAACTGATATATATATAAAAAAAATTAAAAAAAAAAAAAAAGCGCGCCTAATCCTAACACTCCAGAAGGCCAAGGCAAGTGGATTGTTATAGCTCAGGAGTTCAAGACCAACCTGAACAAGAGTAAGGCCCTGTCTCACTTAAAAAAAAAAAAAAAAAAAAGAATTAACTGGACAACTAAAAATATATATAGGAAAAATTAGCCAGGCATGTGGCGCATGCCTGTAGTCCAGCTACTTGGAGGCTGAGGCAGTAGGATTGCTTGAGCCCAGGAGTTTGAGGTTGCTATGAGCTAGGCTAACGCATGGCACTCTACCCTGGACAACAGAGTGATACTCTGTCACAAAAAAAAAAAAAAAAAAAATGATATGTACATGGCAGTAAAGAGGGATCTCTTCCATAAGGTGAAGAGGAGTTGGTTAGGAAGCCAAAAGCAAAAGATACTCTAGAACCAAATTATTTCTGGGACGGAACATTGTTCTAGTCATCTTCCTTTCTAAACACTGAGACATTGAGAAATATTTGGAATGACTGGTTTGAACAAGGTAGAGTTGGGGAGTGGAGGAGGCATGTGGAGCATAAACGTGCCTAATGATACTTTGTGCCCTAGTGGGCTATCCTCCAGGTAGGACTAAAAGATATTCCTTGATTAAATAAATGAATGCTTATTTGTTTGTGTCTGGATTTGCCAGTTACACAGAGCACAAGTTTCCCTGTGTGTGCTGACTTTGATGATTGCTCAGAAGAGACCTCATTCAGAGGTGAGTGCAAGTGTTCTGTATGGGTGTGATAACTATTCACCAGTGAAGTTGAACCTTTGAGTTATCCCAAGTTCATAAATGATGACATCTTTAGTATAAATTCCCAGGCTCTAGTACTTTTCTCATTCACTGAAGAAGAAAGCCTACAGGATGGTCTTAAAATACAGCTTTCTGGCCGGCGCGGTGGTCTCACGCCTGTAATCCTAGCTCTCTGGGAGGCCGAGGCGGGAGATTGCCTCAGGTCAGGAGTTCGAAACAGCCTGAGCAGAGTGAGACCCCAATCTCTACTATAATATGAAAGAATTAATTGGCCAACTAATATATATAGGAAAATTAACCGGCATGGTGGCGCATGCCTGTACTCCCAGCTACTCGGGAGGCTGAGGCAGAAGGATTGCTTGAGCCCAGGAGTTTGAGTGCTGTGAGCGAGGCTGATGCCACGCCACTCACCTCTAGCCTGGCACACAAAGCGCAGACTCGTCTCAAAAAAAAAAAAAAAAAAAAAATACAGCTTTCTATGAGTGGTCACTTGACTTTAATCTATACATGGTATCTTTAAGGTACACTCTCTAGTTCAAATTCTCAATACTTGGGCTCTGCTTATTATGAAAGTGATTGAAATCTTCTTTCTATATCCCTTTTTTTTTAAAGACAAAGTCTCAGTCTGTTGCCTGGGCTAGAGTGCCGTGGTGTAAGCCTAGCTCACAGCAACCTCAAACTCCTGGGCTCAAACAATCCTTCTGCCTCAGCCTCTCAAGTAGCTGGGACCACAGGCATGCGCCACCGTGCCCAGCTAATTTTTTTCTATATATTTTTAGTTGCCCAGCTAATTTCATTCTATTTTTAGTAGAAGCAGGGTCTCACTCTTGGTCAGGCTGGTCTTGAACTCCTGAGATCAAATGATCCACCTGCCTCAGCCTCCCAGAGTGCGAGGATTACAGGTGTGAGCCACTGCATCCGGCCTCCTTTCTTTATCTTAGTTCTCCCTACTATGAGAAAGGAAAAAATGATTCTCTCCATTATTTTCCCAGTGGTTTTGTTTTTTGTTTTGGGGGGTTTCTGTTTTGTTTAGTTTATTTGCTATTTTTGTCACAGAAATTGAGGACAAATGGATTAGAGATGTTTTTTGTATATTTAAGTCATTATGTGCTTCTGGTTTTGCATGTTTCTGGCTCAGCTGCCTAGCTATTCCCAAGCAGTTCAGTCTCATTTAGCGCATGATTGGCCTTTTCCAAGGCAACACTTGGATTCTGTCTTGGTTATCAAAAACTTGAGAAATGTTTTAAGTGGCTTTGGTTTCATTGACAATGGAATTGCAGTGGGTGGGTGTGGGCAATGCTTACAGCCTAAATAAAGGCTCTTGGTAAGAGCACATATGCTGAGAGGTGTTTTATCTTCCCTCTTTCTATAGCAACTTTATCTGTAAGATTAAACATTCCACCAGTGGTATAGTTAATAAATAAAAGAAATCTCTGCTCCTGTTTAGAGCTGTTTATCTGCCAGTACTAGAATCTGTTTACTTTCATCCACTTCATCATTTGATTTTTGTTTCCTTCTGTCTTCCCAGGTGGCATTGGTAGGGTGGTCAACGGAGCCTTCATGGTGCTGAAAGGGCATCGATCTATTGTTAACCAGGTCCGATTTAATCCCCATACCTACATGATCTGCTCTTCTGGTGTAGAAAAGATTATCAAGGTGAGGCACCTTCTCCTTCTGTCCTTTTAGAGAAATTATAACAACTTATAATTAGAATAAACTAAAACAATGTACATAGGAACTTATATCTAAACATATTAAAGGTCTATCAAAATGCTCAGATTTTGACATATTATAAAATATTAGAAAGTTGATATTAAGTGGTTTTAAAACTTTCCTTTCAGAACCATTTTTTCCACTAGTCACTGGGCTTTGAAACAGAGGGCCTCTTCTAAACACTACCTTTTATGCTACTACATTTCCAGTAGCCTTCGATCTTGATTATGACAAGTTCTGCTTTCCAAACCTTACCTACAGCTTAGGAGAACCACTGCTCCCTCAGTTACCAAGTGTGCACTTGGCATTAATTGCTATCTGAATGTGACACAGATATATCTAAGTGATTGCCAGAATCATAGCTAAATGGTCTCAGGATTTATCAAAAAACTACTGCGTGTGCTTGTGAAATATTTTTATAGCTGCAACTAAGGGATCCAGCCTGGCCTGTCTCCACAGAAGGCTGTGGAGACCTACTGCCTGTCACTCATATTTTAGTTGCTAGTAACCCTTTTTCCACATCTGAGGAAATGAAAATTCAGGGTAAATGAAGAATTGTTAAGGATAAAGATAGATAATGTTCCTCCTAAAAGTTAAAATTCCTCAATTTTTTTTCTTTTTTTTACTTTAATTTTCTTTTTTTTAAAGATGGGGTCTCACTCTGTTGTTCAGGCTGGAGTGCAGTGGTGCCAATCATAGCTCACTGCAGCCTCCAACTCTTGGGCTCAAGTGATCCTCCAGCCTCAGCCTCCTAGCAGACTACAGGTGTGCACCACCATATCCAGCTAATGCTTTTATTTTTTGTAGAGACAGGATCTTGCTATGTTGCCCAGGGTGGTCTTGAACTCCTGGCTTCAAATGATCCTCCTGCCTTGGCTTCCCAAAATGCTGAGATTACAAGCATTAGCCACTGTGCCTGGCCTTCAATTTTTTTCTTAAAATGACTTTGAAAAGCTGAGAGAGTTTGCAGAGAAAAAATAAAAACTGGTTTGTGATAATTTAGTAATTTTCATTTTCTTCATTTTTTAAAAAAACTATCCAGAGCTAAATCAAATTGTATTTGGTGATAGAGGGAGCTATCAGAAATAGCATATTGGCATGTGGGTTAATATTTTTATTTGCCCTAGGTAGGCTTTGCCAGTGCTATGTATCAGGGCTGACTTTTATGACTGCACACATTTCCCCATAGGGCTATAAGAGGACTACGGGATCATTTTTACCAACTTTTTCTTTTTACAGATGATGAGATTTAAATTATAAATTAACTATCAGAGGTCACACAGCTAATTAGTGGAAAGCTAGGATAGAACCCTGTTCTATGTTCTTCCCAGTATATCACCATATCTGCCATGCTAGTGAGAAGGCAGCAGGCAGTGACCCTCCTATATTTGATTATCTCAATAGTGCTTCACTTGGGCAGTCTTGAAATGGCCCTGTCCCATGCATTGCTTTCCCCTCTCCTTTGGCCTATGACTAATGGGTTGGCACTGTAACATGTCTTCTCTAGGCCCGTTGACGTCATTCTCTTTTTCAGAGAGCTCTCTGCTTGGGCATCTCCTTTAGAAGAGAAATTCCTGTTTGGCCATGTACTCTGGGATGCTTCTGTGCTAAGTCTCCCCATTTATTGTTTAGTCAACTGAAGTCCTTACCCTAAAGGTCATAGGTTGGAAACTAGCCAAGTTCTCAGAAGAGAAAGAAGAAAATTTTTTCTCTCTGAGGTTATCCAGACTGAACTGTGGAGCTCACTGCTCCCAGGTTCCCATGGGATCTGAAGCTTGCCCCACCAGGAGGCACATTTAACCATTTGAAACCTTAAGTCTACACAGATGACCATAGTGAGAAAGAAAGCAAATAACTCTGGAGTTCTCAGCTTTGCTTTCTCACAGATGTCTGCCCCATTCACAGCCTGATAGGGAAGTGTATGGTGTTAAAACATTGCAGAAAGGGAGGTGAGAAGGAGGAGGGTGAGACTGAGTGCCATGCCGGCCTCATCTCTCTATGGAAATTACTGCCCTTGCCTGTGCTTACATCATCCTGAAAGGCCATTGAGTCTCAACCCTTGGTCTGTCTCTTGTCTGTAAATTGTGGGCACTAACAGTGATTGCCACCCAGGTGCTTTGTGAATTACCTGTGCCTGACAATTCCTGTTTTAATAAATGTCACTCTCTTCCTTGGTATTTCTGAGAGGATCAGTGGCTCAAAGAGGATCATGTTCTGGTCCAGCCTGAGGCCCGCTTTTCTCTCTCCATCTTTCTTTGTGCTCCCCTTTCTCACTGTCCTTGTCCTGTACAGCCACCTGTCTAGTGGGAAGGAGAAGCATCCCTGTTGTCAGGACCAGCCTCTTCTCACCCATAACAGGCGTTCTATCCCCCTGAATGCTCATACTTAGCAAAAGAAAGGGGTTTGTTTCATAGTTAAAATGTTGAGGGGGTGGAGATAGGGCAGATTCTGACATTTTTTTCTCAAAGACCAGTATTTGTTTATTCATCCCATATGTGGATATCTCTACTGTGTGCCAGGCCCTATGGAGAACACAAAGATGAAGAAAGGTATCATAGATCTCCTTAGGAATTGATGTCCTGGTAGGAGAGACAAGAAAGAAAGATAATGAGAAATGCAGTAGGAGCACAAGAGTTATAAACAACAAAATGCTGTGGGAGGAGGAAGAGATTTTTCTTATGTGGGGTAATCTTAGTGTAGGTTAATATTTGAGCTAGATTTTGAAGACCAAAGACTTTAAAAGGAAGGAAAGGAGTAAGATATTAAGAATGAAGAATATTCCAAGTAGAGGGAATAGATATTTATTTCATTGGATCAATAAATATTTATTTACTACCTATTGTGTGCCAGGCATTGTGCTTATGAATAAATTGCTCAGAAGCAGGAAAGTATAGGACCTGTTCAGACAAAGGGGAGAGAACATGGGACATAGAGCTGGGAAGGTAGGCTGGAGCCAGGCCCAGAGTCTTGGAAGCCAGATTAGAGAATGTGGCAAGCCCTGCAGTAAGAATTTGGGACCTTATTGGTGTAGTTTTTCCTTGGTAGATGGATAAATTTCTAAATTCAGTATAATAGTACAAAGAGAGAAGAGGATTTAAAGCTACTACACCAAGCATGTCATAGTCACTTGTGTAGCTCAAACACTTGTCACTTAATTGCTTCCCATTTTGATGATGCTTGAATAAGAATCGAACTGCATCTTTTTTCTCAGCAGGCCCTTGAGCTAAACAACTTAGAAAGCTGTTCATCCCCTCTCCCTTTCTTGTGAGCTTTGCCCCATGAAGAGGCATGGCTAGCCACATTTAATAGGTATTAATAACAGGCAGTTGTTTTTTAATTGCCTCACTTTTAAACTGTTGACTTTTGGTGTAAAGAAATGAATAATTTCAAAAATGGTTGAAATTGATATTTTAAGGACAAAGATAATAGGGACAGTCAGTACTTCTGATATTCAAAAGTCTCTCTAAGGTAGGTTTCAAACATTCTGGTTGAGGTATTCAATTGCCAAATGAAAGAAAAAGCATCACATTTATTTGTGCTTGGGTATAAGCTATGTTATTTTATCATCCTCATTTCCACTGATGAGAAACAGAGACTTTCAAGGGTAAAGTTGGCCAGGTGCAGTGGCTCACGCCTGTAATCCTAGCACTCTGGAAGGCCAAGTCAGGAGGATCACTTGAGGCCAGGAGTTCTAGACCACCGTGAGCAAGAGTGAGACACTGTCTCTACAAAAAATAAAAAAATTAACTGGGTGTAGTGGCGTGTGCCTGTAGTCCCAGCTACTCCAAAGGCCAGGGCAGGAGGATCACTTGCACCCAGGAGTTTGAGGTTGCAGTGTGCTATTAATACACCACTGAACTGTAGCCAGGGCACCAGAGCAAGACTCTTGTCTCCAAAAAAAAGGGCAGGGGTAAAGTCATTTGCTAAGAGCCACAGGAGGTGGTAGAGTTGAGGCCCCTACTTGTTTTTTCTGCTCCTGCAGCTCTAGGCCAAGAGTCCCTTGAAGACTGAAGACTGGCAGTCTGGTTGGTGGGGGGTGGTGCGGTGTTTCATTCTGAATCTTATGATTGGAATGCGACCCATCTAATTCACTGTTTAGATGAAGGAGCTAAGCTTCACCCATGATCACTAGCTAGCTAGGAGCTGAGTGGGAACCCACACTCTAGTCTCCTGCCTCTGATCCTGTGTTTTGTTCCATTACTCCAAGCTTCAGGAATGAACAGTCTACCTCAGCTTAATACATTCCAGAGCACAAACAAAAGCTGACGTTCAATGTTATGATTTTCATTCCTGAGGTGAAAACGTAGGGGGCTGGGTAGTAATAGACTGGAACCTAAAAACTGGCTTGCTGAGTAGCTAGGCCAGCATCTTACCATTATTATTTTGCACTTCTTTTAAAAATTCTGTTAGATTTATTTTTATATTAGGGAACATGGTTAATATTTTGCCATTTTTAAACAGGGATATGAGAGATTTGGCTCAGGATTAAGAATAAGACCCAAAAAACATCCCAAGGGCTTTCCCTTTTGGACCCCTCAGTTTCTTTTCTAAGTCACCAAACTCTTATTCCCTCAGACATCTGTCTGCAAAGATAGTCACTTATAGCTTGAGCCTTGTGCTAGAGACTGTGTCTAAATGTTTCCCAAACACTGAGTCTCACAAAGAATTTGAAGATCCCTTCAGACAAATCCTTTTATTTTCTGCTACTTATTTTATGCTAACTGTAGTCCAATGTTTCTTAAAAGTTGGTCCACTTACATATCCCTGGAGTGGTTGTTAAAAATGCATAGTCCTGGTACCAACACATGACCTGAATCAGAATCTTTAAGAATAGGACTTAGGAATCAATAATCAACACTGTAATTAATCTTCGGGTGATTCTTATGCACTTCAAAGTTTAGAAGTCACTACCCTAAAACTCTCTTGGCTGAGATTATAAAGCTGGAGAGGGTAGAACATCTGAAGAGTTATGGGAACAAAGTTGAAGGACGATTGAATCTGAGTTGGGAATTGGTGGAGAGAAGCTAATCTAGAAGGTTTCTTCAGCTTCTTTTGAACTGGGGGTCTTCCAAAGAGATACCACTTCCCAGGAATTGCCAAGTAAAGCATGGCAGGAATGAGCCTCAAGAAAATTCCCATGGGGAGGTGACTTTGTCCTTAGATAGCTTTGGGGAAACAAAGCCTTTGTCTTGATGGAGGATGGGGAATGAGGGGCCAGTGTTTTCTGGGTTGGATGCCATCTAAAGATAGACACCAGCCTGTCAGGCAAGAAAATTGCCTGGAATTTCATCTGAGTTGCCATGGCTACAGGCTGATGTAACTGAGCTTCTCTGTGCTGCTCTGTGGACCAGACTGGCAGTCAGGTGGAGCTAATCATCCTCATTTGCAGTGACAGGTTAATTACCTTGAATTTGATTTTTGCATAAATTTATCCAATCTGTAAAGGTGAGCCTTTGAATCAGACCTGAGTTTGAATTCTAGTTCTGCTGCTATTTAGCTATGAGCCCATGTCCCTGATTATGGAGTGGAGGGATGTTAATGGATGGGACTACATTCAATTCTCCTTGAGGAATGTGTCCTACCTATTCCTGCAGTTAACAGAAGAGTCGGGGAGCAAGCCAGCAGCTCTCTGGTTAGAGAACCCAGTTTCCTCGGTAACTGATGCCTCATGTCCAAGAGGGAACTGCAGTGTAGGCAGTTGGCTATTCTTATCAAGCTCCAGTAAGCAATTCCCATTAGTTAAAAATAGAAATGTTGCAGTTGGGGAGAGGTAGAGCTATAGGCTGAAATATTAACTGTCTCCGAGGACTGACTGCTGGACTTGTTTTCACTTTAGAAAAGTGATACCTCTCTGCACAGCTTCAGTCTTCTGAGAGTTTTTATTTATTTATTTTTTGTGAGACAGAGTCTCACTCTGTTGCCTGTGCTAGAGTGCTGTGGAGTCAGCCTAGCTCACAGCAACCTCCAACTCCTGGGCTCAAGCGATCCTTCTGCCTAAGCCTCCCAAGTAGCTGGGACTACAGGCACATGCCACCATGCCCAGCTAATTTTTTCCATATATTTTTAGTTGGCCAATTAATTTCTTTCTATTTTCAATAGAGACGGGGTCTCGCTCTTGCGCAGGCTGGTTTTGAATTCCTGACCTTGAGTGATCCTCATGCCTCAGCCTCTCAGAGTGCTAGGATTACAGGCGTGAGCCACCACGCCCGGCCTTCTAAGAGTTTTTAACACACTGGCCAATTTTCCAGTCATCCTCTACCCTCCGAGATTATGATTATAATTTCCAGGGTACTCATAGACAAAATTGAATGAGAAAGGGATTGTGGTGGGGGAAACAGCATGTGATTAGCCTGGGCCTAGAGGCAGGACTTGGGTCTCTTGACACTAGGCTAATACAATGTCCTAGGCCATGCTTTTCCCCACATCTGACTCTGAAAGTCTGTTTTCATATGTAGCACACAAGATCCAGTTTGATAAAGAACATGTTTTTAAAGTTGGTTAGCAAGCCCTGGCTAAATGACAGGGATGGTCTGGGGAAGCTCTGCTACAGAACACTTTCCAATCAGTCCTTGCTGCTTTTGTTTTTCAACTTCTGTGCAGATCTGGAGCCCATATAAGCAGCCAGGATGTACCGGAGACCTCGATGGTCGAATTGAGGATGATTCCCGCTGCCTCTATACCCATGAAGAGTACATCAGTCTTGTACTGAACAGTGGGAGTGGCCTGTCACATGACTATGCCAACCAGTCGGTGCAGGAAGACCCCCGGATGATGGCCTTCTTTGACTCCCTGGTCCGCCGAGAGATCGAGGGCTGGAGCTCTGACTCGGACAGTGACCTCAGTGAGAGTACTATCCTTCAACTGCACGCGGGGGTCAGTGAGCGCTCTGGCTACACTGACTCAGAGTCCTCAGCCTCGCTGCCTCGCTCCCCGCCTCCCACAGTTGATGAGTCGGCTGACAACGCCTTCCACCTGGGGCCCCTGCGGGTCACCACCACAAACACAGTGGCGTCAACTCCACCAACACCCACGTGTGAGGATGCAGCCTCCCGCCAGCAGCGTTTGTCTGCTCTGCGGCGCTACCAGGACAAACGCCTCCTGGCCCTTTCCAATGAATCCGATTCTGAAGAGAATGCCTGTGAGGTCGAACTGGACACAGATCTCTTTCCCCGGCCACGGTCACCCAGTCCTGAAGACGAATCCAGCAGTTCCAGCAGCTCCAGCAGCTCAGAGGATGAGGAGGAACTGAATGAACGCCGAGCTTCTACCCGGCAGCGGAATGCCATGCGACGCCGACAGAAGACACCCCGAGAAGAAAGGCCCAGTGCCCCAGTCAAGCCCGCCAACACCTACATTGGAGAAGACAACTATGATTACCCTCAGATCAAAGTGGATGACCTCTCCTCCTCCCCTACCTCCTCCCCTGAGCGGAGCACTTCCACGCTCGAGATTCAGCCAAGCCGGGCGTCACCTACTTCTGACATAGAATCAGTTGAGCGAAAGATTTATAAAGCTTACAAGTGGCTCCGCTACTCCTACATCTCCTACTCAAATAATAAAGATGGAGAGACCTCCCTAGTGACAGGGGAGGCAGAGGAAGGGAGAGCAGGAACCAGCCTCAAAGACAACCCAGCCCCTTCTTCCAGCAAGGAAGCCTGTCTAAACACAGCAGTGGCCCAGAGGAACCAGGACTTGCCCCCTGAAGGCTGCAGCAAGGATGTTTTTAAAGAAGGGACTTCTACTAGAAATCCCAACAGTGTCCCAGGCCATGAGCACAGTAGCCACCCCTGGGTAGAAGTGCCAGAGGGCACCTCTCAGGACACTAACAGTGGTGGGTCTGTAGAACACCCTTTTGAAACCAAGAAGCTCAATGGAAAGGCCCTGAGCAGTCGGGCTGAGGAGCCACCTTCTCCTCCTGTCCCCAAGGCATCTGGCTCCACTCTCAGCAGTGGGTCTGGCAACTGTCCCAGGACCCAGTCTGATGACAGTGAGGAGAGGAACCTCGAAACCATCTGTGCCAACCACAACAATGGACGCTTACATCCCCGCCCCTCTCACCCTCATAACAATGGGCAGAACTTTGGAGAGCTGGAGGCAGTGGCCTACTCTTCCCCAGGAAATTCGGACACTGACCATGACAACTTGTCCCTGACAGGGACACTCCTGCACAAAGATTGTTGTGGGTCTGGAATGGCCTGTGAGACCCCCAATGCTGGAACAAGAGAGGACCCCACTGACCCCCCAGCCACAGACAGCAGCAGGGCTGTTCGTGGCCATAGTGGCCTCAAAAGGCACCGAGTTGAATTGGAAGATACGGATTCAGAGAATTCCTCCTCAGAGAAGAAATTAAAAACATGATAAATAAAAAGGGAAAACAAAAAGCTACAAAAAGTAGCCTTACAAAAAAAAATTCCTGTTTAGTGAACACAGAGGAAAGGAAAAACAAGTATTAAAGGCACATAAAACCAGGGCCTGAGATGTTGTGTCTGATGCTGCTCCCTTCTATCCAACATTCATTGGTGGGTCTGAATGTCTAGCTGGCCGTTGGCTTGTGCTGTGTTAAGAAAGGGAAAAAAAAACCCCAGGTGACTCCTTTCTAAGTGAGACTTCAGCATAGTGTGCCTGTGCGAGGTTCTGTGAAAGTGAGTCCTTGTTGAGACGTTTGACTTGTTCTTGTGTGTGCACGCACTGGCACGTGTGAGTTCATTGTCTCCTAAGACCTTTGTTTCACTTCTCCATCAGAAAGGACCCATGAATATGTTGTTTTTTTTGCCATCTCACCCTGTTTACATGACATAGGTGTTCTGGTCTGAAGATGGGTGCCTGTTAAATCAAATTGTGCTGCCAGTGAGTTATAGATTTATGCTGGAAGAACGGAATGGAGAATGGAAACAAGCTGTCAGCCCATTGGCTATGGTGGAGAGGAAAACATGGTTCCTTTCTTAAAGAAATGTTCCATGTTTTCTTTAACACTTCATTGAACAATTTAATGTGGACATACTAAAAGTGGAGCATTTCTGATGCTAATAAGAGGTTAGCACTTTAAGATCAGATTCAAGAGAATATAGATCCCTGATAAATTTCACTGTTTGCAAATTGAGCAATGCTGCAACATGTACTGTATTGGAGGCCATAATATATAACTAGTTGTGGATAACACACTTTAACCAGTTAGGTGCTAGTTCCTAAGAGGCATTCAAAAGGCCAGCAGGTGCTTCCTTGACTCCATGTGATGGAGTCTAGGCATATCGAGAGAAAGGGAAAAGACAGCTCCCAAGAGCTTTGCGCTCAAACTACTACAGTGGATGTTACAGGTGTGTTAACGAAGAAGTGTAGTGAAGAGCAGAAAGTGGGACTATATTCATTTAACTCAACCTAAAACCATTGGTTAGAACTGGTAGGACTGGCATCTTCTCTCAGACTTGCAGTTGGCGGAGGCTGTGGTGTTCTGACTAGACTTTGCAGAATGGTAGGCATCTCAAGGTAACAGATTCTTACTGAGTAGGTCTGTTAGGAGGCAGAGGGTGTGGAGCAGGGGTCCTCATACTTTTTAAATAGGGGGCCAGTTCACTGTCCCTCAGACCATTGGAGGGCTGTTGGAGAGTGCGGTGCACATTCCACACATGCGCACTGTGGGCCCAGGACGAGTCAGCTGTTAAGCAGGACAGGTAGCGGCAAAAACACCTGGCGGGCGGGATAAATGTCCTTGGCGGGCCACATGTGGCCCATGGGCTGTAGTTTGAGGACACCTGGTGTGGGGGGAGGAGTCTGGTTTAAGATTCCTGATTCCCAGAAGAGATTCAGTTTCATTGAGGTAGATAAGGATTGAGGGGGAGAAAAAGACCCAAGAGATTTTAGCCTTGTGGTTGGTGGTGGTTACAGTCACTTGATTATAATGAAGGAGTGTACAAGACGGAGGACCTAGGGATGACCAGATATCGTGTTGGCATAAAAGTCATGTAAAGGCAGAATACTGGCAAGAAATGAGGAAGAGAGAAAAGAACAACTTAGCTTTCTTGAGCACAAAGGTGCTAGACAACTGGAGACTGGCTGGGATTGGCGTCAGGAGGACCTAATGTGAGACTAGCATGGCCTCCCTGCCCCAGCATTCCTTTTAGAAGAGGGCCTGTCCTGCCAGAACTGGGACACAGGGGAGGCCATCTGTGGAGGCAGAAGACTTGGATAAATTCAGGCACTGGGGGTAGGGGGGATGGGGTGTTATTTATAAAAGGAAGGTCATTGATGTAAGCCAAAAGGAGATACCATCTCACCAAGCTTTACGTGTGTGTGCTGTGGCTGGGGTGTGAAAACACTGTTTAGGTGAAGGAGATGACGGAGTGTGAGTAGCAGTGGGGATGTGTACAGTTTAACAACTGGACTCTTATTGGGGAAGCGGGAAAGTGATCCTGTAACCAACATTAGAATTGCTTTGGATTTGTAATCAAAATGATTCTATGATTTGTCTTTGACTATTCACAGATAATTGTAAATTCTGGTTTTATAAGCCCAAGTCATTTTACATTTGCTTTTCCAAAATGTATTAAATTGGAATTTTTTAATCCTTTATATACAAAAAAAGATGTAATCACTCAGCGTGTGTTTCTCTTCCCCTTCTCAGCATACCCAATCTTTATATTTTATTTTAATCTAATTAGCAGGTAGCCTCTTCTGACTTCTCTAAGGACAATCCATGTATCTTCCTGGAGAAAAAGAAGTAAAGTTCCCTTGGGAACTAGCTACTTGGTAGTTACAGTTCCCAAATGCAGAACTTGGTCTTTTCATGTTAAAAGCCTTACTCTCATTTGGGTACTTAAAAGAGAAGTCAAAGATTCTGGCTAACTTTAGAAGCCAAGAAAGATTTTCAGTAAGGATGCCTTCCGTTTTTGGGAGAGACTTCCCAGCATGCTTGGCTCAGCTCACCAGGAGAAAGAGGCCCCATCAGATCTGCAGGGGCTGGCTGAGAAATGCTTGTTTCTGTGCTTGCTCCACCCTCCTTTCCAGAGATCTTGTGTCTGTGGTCATGGGGCTGGCAACCTGGTGGGAACTATTCCTAGGGTACCTTTGTCTAAACTCTTGTAGAATTGAGGCCCCAACTTTGGAGGCACGTTTAATCCCTAATTTCTTCCGTGATAGATACTTTTACTAGCAGGACAGATGGCACTGATTAGGTTAAGAGCTATTTGGAAGTGCCTCTTATATTTTTTTCTGCATCCTCCTGTACATAAAGTTTTAAGTGGCAGGACCAGATATTTAAAACCATTTCTCTCTACTTTGTTTTCCACTTTGTTTTGTAAATGATTCTCTAGGACAGCAGGTAAATGAGTTAAATGAGTTGTTGGCTTGGGGCAAATGAAGTTTGCAACTGTGCTTGATTTAATAAGCCAAGAGTCTCTTGTTTGTCTGTCAAGGTGCCTTCCTCTGCTGAAGCCTTACCTCCTCTTCTCACCCAGCAACGGTTAACTCTTCTCTTGTGTATATGCAAATAAACCTGTTATTCACTTCTTATGCCTTCCTCTTCTCTTCCAGGGAAGACATGATTGCTTAGACACCCCTCCTTTATTTCTTTCCTGTTTTAATTCTTCCCTGGTTGGAAACTTGATTTAGAACCATGCTGAAGACCAAAAGAAAAGCTGTACTCTGCATCCATGACATTGGTCATTATCATTTCTGTGTATTGGGACAAAGGTCACATCTGGACAACAAAATGTAGGGTGGGAGGAGGTATCTATTTGGTCTCCTTTATCAGGTTTGCAGGGGCCCAGCATAGTGAGATCCTGGAACTAACACTTTCATTAGTTGGAACTGAGGGAGCTATGCAGTGAAGTGACATTACAAATAGCCCCAAAAGATAGGATATTTTCTGATGTTTCCAAATGTCAAATTGCTTTTCCTGCCCTATTCCAGGCATGCATTACAAACTTTTTTCCTTAAAAAAAAGCAAAACTCCAAATCCTGCCTATAAAGCTGCCTCTTACAGTTAACTGAAAAAATTCTTGCCAACCAAGACTCTTGTCAGGAAAACAGACACTTCCAAAGGAAGACTGCCTTCCCCAATGAGCTAAGCAAGGTGATGTGCCAGGGCTGAAACACTAGGTGAAGTGAAGCTCAGTGTGTCCTACACTCGCCCACCACAAGATAATGGCTCTGGACAAGCCGTGTGGTTCTCCCAAGCAGGGAATTCCAGTTGGGTCTCATCTGTCCTTGACCACTCAGACTGGGATGAAGTTACGTGAATTTGAATAACTTGAAAGTATTTGAAATTCTTAAAAGAATGGTGCTTCTCACATACAATAAAAGAGAGTATACGTGAAAAGAAAGCCTCATCTATTGCATCCTAATTGCATTTCGTTGTTAGTACAAAGTTGGTAAGGTGCTTCTCAGAATGGAGGCTTGGAGGCAATGGTAAACTTTGGGCCCTGCACTAACATGGCCAGGGGAAGCAGGAGTGACTCAATTCAATCCACAATGGGGTGTACTTGAATATGTAGAGGGTCCTGCCATGCTTATCTACTGTCCTATAAGACAGTCATATTGTAAGGAAATGGGCTCTCTAGTATTTCAAAATACTAAAGCTGGGAAGTGAGTCCTTTCATGGGCCCAAGACCATGAGCTCATGGAATAGTCCAGCTGAAGTACAGAATGCTAGCTTACAAGTCTCCCTCTATCTGCTTTTGTTAGTACCCTACTAAAGTTTGGGGAAGACAACAAAACTCTAAGATACCCAGATGCTGAGCCAGACTTAGACATAAGAGAAGTCTTTGTGGTCTAGGGAAGCTGGGAGGGAAAACATCTGGGGGGAAGTAGGTTAGGAAGACTTTGCAATGGGAGAAATGAAGTGCTGGGTGGGTTCAATAGTTTCCTGGATCCATAGAACTAGCATTCAACAGGCATGGGACTGGCCTCCAAGATTCTCTAGCCAAAACCCCAAGCACAGATGCTCCTTATATCAGGTTACATCCCAGTAAACCCATGGCAAATTAAAAATATGTCACCAAAGCATTTATACACCTAATCTATTGAACATAGCTAGCCCAGCCTACTGTAAATAGGCCTACTGTAAATTACCCTACAGTCTGGCCAAATTGTCTGGCAATACAGTACACTGTAGAGTATTGGTGGGTTGATCTCGTTGCTAACTGGGAGTTGCAGCTCAGTGCTGCTGCCCAGCATCACAAGAGTATCTTAGTGCATGCTGCTGGCCTGGGGAAGGACCAAAATTCAAACTGTTTATACTCAATGCATATCACTTTAACACCATCATAAAGGCAAAAACTCAAAAGTCAAACCATTGTGTCAGAAACCAACTGTAGTAATCCTTAATTTATAATAGAAGTCAATAAACATGCAGGATTGGTTTGGGAGTGCAGACCTCTTAGCTTGAATGCATAAATACCATGGGGAAAAAAAAATTGTATAATGACCCAAACACCTGCATGTGCACTTAAACATGTACCTCAAACAGGTGAGTGTGTGGTTATTGGTGATTGGCATAAGCTTTCACAGGCTCATATCTCCCTACTTGACTGTTCCTACACTGGTTAGTGACAATATTTGGAACCTACACATACTT